AAAAAAGCAACTACCAGACGCCTTAACTCTGAGTAAACTCTGTTCTTGAATAACAATGGACAAACATGAGCAAAATTTGAAACACCTATTTATCCAAGGCCAGATGCATGCTAAAATATGCCTTTCTCAATTCAACATAAAATATTTAGAATCAACCTTGCACTTAGTATATATTTTACTGTGGTTACATGGGAGCAGAAGAATGGTGTACAGCAATCCGGGATTGCCATGTTAAGGTCTCTGAGACAGCAGAAAAGTATACCGTTTATTGCTATTACTTTTTTTCATACATGTTATTTAGTTATTTCCAAGAAAAACATTTAATTCTTGCATGGAAACTTTATTAAAACTTTGAAAGAGCTGCCTAAAGAAAAAAAAATCCTTATTAGGTAAAACCTCACAAGTAAATAAATAATCAGTTAAAAGTTTTTTAAAAACAATAATAAAACCCCAGCTAAACACCTTATCCTTCCACATTTAATAGACGAACCTTCTTTCTTTCAGTACTCCAAATCTGGTTGAATTTGCATTTTAATATGGTCACAAGCTCAGAGAACAGTACAAATGCTGGCCCTGGTCTTTGCTGTTCCCTATCCATCCACTTTGGCCACTCGTGCAGACGTGACATTTGATCTGACTCCCATCCATCATTTTTACATCCTCATGTTCCCAGAGTAGAGATGAAATTACTGAGCACAGAACGTCTCCCTTCCTAGTGACAATGTGCTTCCTAGACTGTCTAAGGTTGCAATTCAATTTCATCCTCCTTTACAACAAAATCAAGGGGGGAAAAAAAAAGTTAACAAAAGACAGTATTTACCTCTCCACGTTGAGCTTCTTGTATTCTGGTGAATCTGAGGTCAGCATGTTCCCAGTTTGCATTTACACTATATATTCTCAGCTGGGAAAGTTCAAATGAAGCATTAAAGGCTTTTGCGCCAATCCTTATTATAATGGAGTTCACAGAAACCGAAATGCCTTCTACCACTTTTTCAGCAAAACCATATTCACTAAAAAGTGAAATGTCAACATATTAAATACACATCTAATGAAAGGGCACAAAATGAAGCTTGCTAAACAGCTGAAATACAACACAAAACAACACAAAGTAAGTTCCTAATGTATTTTCTAGTTATGAGGTTTTGTTAAATATACTTTATCTGATTTACAGTAATTTCCACCCTATGATCCTACTCTCAAAATAGTTATTTTAGAACATATCTGGATCAAGATCAATCTCCATGAAGAATAACATTTAATGCAATTTTCCCAGGATACTGTTTTATACATTGATAAATGTATAAATAAATAAATATCTTAGACATACACAAATATAACAGTCTACAGCATTATGTAGAAATCTTACTATTCTTTTATGTATACATAAGGAGCAACCCACGTTAAATGAATTATTTGACAATTCCAGTCTGGTTAGTATTTATCTAAGTAAGTTAATTTATTCTGCCCATTAAAAATACTATCTTTAATATATTCAAAATTGTATAAAGTATTTGCTTTGTTTCATTCTATAGAAGAAAAGCTACCTAAAGGGCAGTTACATTTCTACACCAAATCAACATGCATTCCAGTATTAAAAAAATACAGCAGTTGCCATTAATTTTCATTAAAAATCTTACACGTCCTGACTGGGTTAGATTCATTAAATGAAAAACTGTATTTTAAACATTCTTTTAATATCTAGGATTTTTGGCCTTTTTTTTTCTCTGCTTGTTTTAAACGTACAGTTTATGTGTTTCGTCATTCTTTTTTCCTCTTTATAACTTCCATCCTACACAGAATCTCTATGGTAATGAGTTTCCAGCTGTACCCTACGCATTGTAGAGGCCCAGGGACTACTATGACATATTACATAGAAATTAAAATAAGAAAAGCAATTGTATCGTCATTTTCTCTGTATTCGGGTCCCTATGCCCACTGAAAAATTGTTTGGGTCCATAAAAAGGAAGTGACAGGGTCGTGAAGGGGGTGGAAATCACTGATGTAATTCTATACCGTCCCACCAAATTACTTGAATTTTGGGCTACAGAATGTGCATGAAATCCTTCAGCAAGTTTTGGCCTATACAAGAAAGGAGACAGAACTTTAAAATATCACACTAATGAATAGCCCTTAATGCTGTTCTCTAGATCTAACAAAGGAAAAACTATTATTTTTTAAAACACATCCCAACATTATATATATTTTGAAAATACGTTGAAGACAAGATACCTTGAATTTTCAAAAAACCTTAATTTCAATTAAGCTTACTACATTTTCGATGCAGTAGTCACACCCATACGAAACATGCCTAGAAAGCTCCTTACATGGTTCAGACCTTTCCAAGCTTAGGTCTGGACAGTTCCAGCATCACTATACACATGTAACTCCACTCACAAGTAATAAAATAAAAATTTGGGGATCTAACTGTTTCATAGTAATTTGAAACAAGTAATCTAAACCTTTTTGGATCCATTGCATAAGAGTATCACCACTGACCTCTGTCCAGATGCAGTTGCTATAGGAGAGGGACCATTGGGGGCACGTGGCTCTTCACATGTGCTCATTTCCATTACAACTTTATCCAAGGACTTGAAAAACAAAACAAAACAAAAAATTGGAGACCTAAGAAGCAACAAAGTAAATGGATGACATATGAAGAATGAAACAATCAACCAAGCAAAAAAAAAAAATCACTTGAGAACTTTTTCTGAAATATACATAATCCATTTCTTATCATGTCAGTTACCACATAAACTTCTGTAACAATTTTTTTTTAATTTGTTCATATATTTTTTTAATTTTTGTGAATTCTAACAGACCTCAGTCAAATCCTGAATTACAGAATTCTTGATTCCTAAGTATTATTAGTTCATTGCACTTACTTTCAAAGATTGCATTTCAAAAAGGGCACGATTTAATGCATACTCCTCTGGGTTTTCTTCCTATATGGCTGTTCTTTCAGTGAAGTACTTAAATACCTCCTGAGTTTTCTAAATGGTTCAGTAAGTTCAGTAGATGCTAACAGAAAATATTTCAAACTAGTCCACTAAAATTTGTGATAGCAGATGAAGTTTTGTGCTGTATCTTTAACACAAAATCTGAATATGTATAATATGTACACATATGAGCACGTATACACTGTGTGTGTGTATGAATCTCAGTAGATCTAGTAAAATAAGCAATTTCTAAAAAGATACATTCTATTAAAATTTGCAACGCATCGTATTATAGTAAACTTGTATGCCATTATCGTATTCTTTGTACTTGAGGTGGGACCCTTTGAAAAGAAGCTAGGAATTAAGCGAATGAGACACCTAAATCCTATTTTAACTGAAGGCTATATTTAAACAGCAGAAGTATAACATACATTTTAAATAAGGCACACTGACAGCGGGGTGAACAGAATGGGAACAAACCAAGTGTAAAACCTTATTCCCAGCAACTGAATAAATTCAAGAATCTCCCAACTTGCATTACAGAACTTGTGACCTCAATTTATCATACAACTCAGGAAGGTTGTATGAAATCTTGCATTTTGAATAAGCTTCCAATGGGACAACAGCCACTATTATTTCCCTGTCTAGATCTGACTATACCACCCCTTCTGAACGCCTCCATTTACCCCCACTTAGGTCAGATGAACCACACTAAAAAGCTTTGTGCTCCATTTCAGACCTTCCCCGATTCAACCTGCCCTACCTATCAGACTTCATTATCATACTGTGTTAATCGTGTCCATCTTCATAATCCACTTGGCTCCACAAGCATTTTTATGCGCTACTCTTACCCATCAAATGCCCTGACTACTATTCATAAACTCTTTACTCTGCATTTATTTATACTGCACTATTATTTTGATGCTTAAGGGTAGGCATTAGCTGTTAACAGCAAATTTGCACATTTCTAAATTACTTCTCAGCTGTCTCAATGCATGTTGCCTTGCAAAACAACAACAGAGGAAAAAACAACAAGAAAAAAACCCAATCCCTTAGTTTGAGGGCAGTGGAGGGCAGAGGGAAGCCAAGATTTATCTGAACATTTCTGGATATTTGACTACTCTTTTCAGGTTTCTTAATTTAAGACCTTTTCAACAATTTCCTTTACTACATGACTAGTGCAAAGAACAGCAGGACAGTGATTTAAAGAGTTTGTGTAATACAAATAGGAGTTAATGAAGGACACCTGGAAATCAATATCCATCTGTTCTTTTCTCACTGGCAACTACTGTACGTGGATACAGAAAAAACTGCCGCATAGCATCCTTGCGCCCCCAAAGCACTCTTGACAATTATTTTGTTTAGAATATAGAAACAGAAATTGATTATAAGCAAAGATAACTTAATACTTGCCAGTACATTAGCAGATGGATTTTCAGAAGGGCAACTCAGGTCAGTGAAAGTACCTTTGCTAGACAAGCGAGTGCTAGTTACCTCCTAAAGCTACACAAACAGAGGATGCTACTGCAATCTAATTAAACTCTCAATAGCAAAAATTTCCCCATAAAAATAGTTCAAGTTCAGTGATACTATGAAGGGTTGAACTTGGACATTTAGGTTATAGAATTCCCCTTCCTTAAGAAGTCAAAAAGGCTGTTGCACTGTCTGCCATGGAAGAGTGAACTTTCGTTATCAATTAAATGCATTTGTTCAAGGAAAGCATTTTGTAAAAAAGGTGACCTTGAAAGTTATCTTAGCCTCAAAGACTGCTAATGTAAGTTCAATAGGAGCAAAGCAAACAATCAGGCCTTGATACGGTAGGTCAAAGTATATAATCTCTAAGGATAGCAAGGCTTAAATTTATTTCCTAATTTGGCAGCTGCATCTTACACACAAGAGGTTGAATCACCCCACCTTAGCATTACCAGACGCTAAGCTCTGTGTGTCAGGAAAAAGCAGTACAGACGTCAGGACATTGCAACTGGGTCACCAGCGAATGCAACACATATATAAAACAACATGTCTTTCCCAAGTCTGATTCAGAACTAAGGAATTACAAGCACATTCAGGAATTCACTGCAGGACTGGGAAGCACAGCAGTGAAAGGAATATTCGTTCCTAAACAAGTGCAATTAAGAATGTTTAGCCACCATCAAGCAAATCACTTCTGCTCCTACCACACTTCTTACTAAAGAATAAAATTAAAGAAATACAGGAATTAGCACTACGTCTAATTGTTGCTGAGTTCTATTTATACATTTTACATCCTATTTATATCCAGGCTGAATCCTAGGCTGTTACAGAAAACCTGTAAATGTTAGTTATAGTAGGTTTGATACATATGAGATCATTCAAGTAGAGTACAGATATAGAAGAGTCCTTAGAAAAGATAGCTAGACTAGATGATCTCTAGAGGTCCCTTCCAACTCCAACAAAAACACAGGCAGGAACTTGTAAAAGGGTTAGCTGTACAAAAAATTACCTTTCAGGTGACCCAAATTAAGATGTAATGACTGAAGAGCCTGACAGAGATTAGGTAACAGTCACACATTATGGTGATGACACCCAAAGCTACAGATCAAGGAAAGAAGCCCGCCAACAATAACATTAAGGCATTTTGTCTTGATCTGCCACTACCCAGAGGACACTTAGTAAAGGGCCATTAATGCTCCAGTTATTTCTAAAGTCAAGTCAAGAGAACTATGTAAATATTCAGCTACACAGAGTATATTTAGGAGTTGATCTCAGAACTCACCAAGCAGATGGGATGGGTTTTCAGTTTTGTCCATGGTATCTGGAAGGGAAAACATGATTCTAAAGCAAAGTAAAGAGTAAAAATACAATAAAATAAAGCATTTGTTCAGAATGTGTTTTATGTATACAAATATAACTTGTGTAACTTCTAAACTCAGAATAATATCACTGTTAAAATATCAGGTTTATCTGAAAATACTATAGAGTAAATTTATGCACACAAAAATTTATTTTAGGTGTTAAAAACAGAACTTCAAAATCTATGTATCACTGAACAGAAAACAGAGGAACAAAATAGAATCCATCTCTTCAATACTGAATTGTCAAGCATCAGAAAAGGCAACACCGTCTTCCACATTCTTTCCTTTAAAAGGAAAGAAAATCCACACTTGCTCTGTTGGCCTGCAACTGCTTGTATGCCTGCAACACAGCATCAAGTTCACTGCAATTAGAAAAATCAGGACAATCTCCCATTGGGAGCGGGGGGAAACAAAAACAAAAAAGACAGAAGAGGTGCCAGAGTTTGACCAGATTGTAACTTCTGTCAAAAACAAGCCATAGCTTCATTTCTTACTCTCATATTGGTATTATCTAAGAGAGATTATATTGATTCAATTCTTAGCAGTCACAAAGACCAAAAAAGTAGTGACTACTAGATTTTGAGTGTTTTCATATTTCTCACAGACACCGGAATCCTTCAGAAAAGTATTTCTGCAAATAGAAAGGTAAAGCAATAGAAAGAGAGAGGTAAAGACAAGAAATAATACATAAAAAAAAGCAAATAATAAATATAGTAGACTAATTACTAGGGGCAAATACAGGCTTTTATGTCTATCTCTATTTCAGAATGTGTAGGAATAAATTTTACTCAAAATAAAACAATCACTGCTTATTTTCGTTGCTTCCATATGTATTTCATGTCATCACATGAGAAACAAAGATGAGTAAGAAATTATTGCTGGTAACATCTTTGTTTTTCTCATTTCTCTGATTTTCCATTAATACAAAGTTGCTCAAAAGTTCACAGAGACAGGAGGAAAAAAAGAAAGGTTTAGCTAATTACCATTTGGGCACAATAAAGCACTCACCCTAATGGATGCTTTATTGCAAAAGACCTTGTTTATAGCAAGCCATGTTGGAAGATCCAGCATGTTCTGAAGCACCTCTTGATCCAGTTCTAAATTGGTCAGCTGACCTTCCCCCTTTAACGTGCTCAGGTTGATCTTGTCAGGTGACAGATTTTTGGTGAACCTAAAAACAAACGTGCACCTTAAGGAAATCCATATAAAGCAATCAGAGCTGTCCCATATATAGCTGATAATTTAACTTAAAGCAATGGTCTGGGGGCAAGGTAATTATCTTAGGGTCTTATGTACATTTTCACCCTGAAAAGAAATGGTACCATGGAATTGCTTTGTCCCTCTGAATTTTTGCATCTCATTAACTCCATTGACAAATACATAAATAAGATTAAATACATTATAAGGTATCTTCTAATTCACTGATCACACAGAACAAATCCTTGATTCGAAGTATTTTACTATTTATTTTAAACTATATAAAGGCAGAAATGCATCTATTTCACTCTTTCAAAAGGAGAAAAAAAAATCCAAATCCCCTACAAGTTATACTGTTACTCTTAGAGGAAGCAGGAGTGGATTGGAATTCACCGAGGAGGAGTAACAAAAAGCTACTCCTCAGAAATTATACCTTCCTATATATATTTTCAGTTAAAATCTTTAAGTTTTATTTACAATATTCAGTAGGTTTATTTACAATATTCAGTAGAATTTAATAACATTCAGTAGGTTTATTTACAATATTCAGTAGAATTTAATAACATTAATTAGAAATATAGATACATGCATACTTACACACACATAGCAGCATAGTGTATACAAAGTACTGGATGAAAACGTGATTGAGTGATATGAAAGGGCTAAACCCCCAACTATTTAAAAGAGTATAAATGCAATAAATTTCATTATACTTCAAAGGCGCTATGATTTGCTGCATCAGTAAAACATTCCCTCAGTAACTGCAAAATATAAAGCCTCCTATCTCAGAAATAATATTGACAAGTCTTATCTGTCAGCTAATTCAAATTTCTAGAAGAAAATAAAGCAGCCTTTGAATGCTTTCAGTCACGTCATAGTATCTCTCACTCTTGACTTTCTAGATGATGGTCAACATAAGGATCAAAAACTGGTGTTATTTTAAAGTCAGATTTATACAGTGAATGCCAAAACATTCCGCCGTTACACACACGTGTAGAGTCTTCTGAGACTCACGCTCTGTGGAAGAAGTCTCCCTGAGGGTTCCCTGCTGGTATGCCACACCAGAAATGCCCCTCAACTTAGAGGCAGATCTAACCATCATTTTGGTCTTAACTGCAGACACATCACAGTGAAACCCAGGGGATCTACAGGAATGGGTTTCCAAACTCCATACTAAGAAAGACACTAAAATACCATTAAGGAGGAGAATGGAGACAGCAAAGCCAATCTTGATTTACTTCTGACATCCTGCAGACAGACAAAAATAGGAGCCAGTCCCTCCCAACAAGGAGGAGAAGCAAACAGAGAAAGCAATCTCAACAAGGAGCATAGTTTTTTCCATTTCTATTTTTTTTTAATTCTTCCAAGAGTGTTGCTTTGATTTTGTTACCTCTCCTGCAGTCAGCAAAAAGAAAAATGCTCCGAGTGCTGCTTCTTTCACCACAGACCTACGTAAGCGGATCTCCACCTGTGAGACTACACCCTTCATTTCAAGAGTCACAGAAAGAAACTCTTGAACAGGTGAGTTGTGAAAAGGTATTTCAGGTGTAGGCACCTAAAGCAGTAGATCTCTTCGTTCTACTTTGCACAGCTGGAATGGGACCAACAAGTGGATGCTGAGGAGACTGTGGCGTTTCCCCCAAATCCATAGTAACTGCACAGTATACAACAACAACCACATCTGCTTTGTCCATCTGCTTTGTCCAGAGCCAGTTTTCCACTGAGGATGCCAACGCTTTACATTTCTGTGCCAATTCCTCGCTCCTTCTAAACTTACTTGTTCCACAGAATACACTTTTGTTTGCCTGATAGATATTTTTGGCACTTTAGAACTATTTCATACTACTTGATGTAACAGGGAAACCTTTTAGTTCTATACAGTGGTCTCAAAAAAGAAAAAAAAAAACATATTAGAAGTTGGCCTATTTGGGCAGCTTGCCCTGCAAAACATGACGTGATCATACCCATGAGTTAGAATTTACAGGAATTCAGATCTTCATGTATAAAATTAAAAGAAGAATTAAATGACAAAAAGAAGAGCATTTTGAACTAAAAATTTTAAAAGAAAGCCTTAGGGCAAGAACAACTCTCTAAATGGTGTTGTTCCAGGATCCCAGAGTACATCAAGCCAGGACACGCCTCAGTGGGTCAGAGCGCTTTGCCTTTTCTTTCAGTCAGCAGAGAGAGGGACAAGATGTGCCACAGGCACACAGATGTGCCTCTAGCAGAAGTTCTAGTGAACTTGCCATGAGTCGGTATAATCGTCGCTGACAGAATTGTTACCCTGATAAAACCTGCAATTTATTATTTTAATGCTTTTAACTTTTGATTTGATTATTAAACTGTTAGTATTGTCCTAAATATTGGGGTGTTGGGAGATGTTTTCTAGTATTTATTGTCAGGCAAAATCTAAGGACGAAGAGGCACCATGGCTTTGGACCATGCCAAGTTATCTCAGTATCTAAACGACTATTGTGTCTTGTAGTACTGTAACTTAGAATGCTTCATTGCTTGAACTTTGAGAACTTCCCACACTATCATATTTACAATACATTTTTTCTGTAAAGTAGAGAGATACTTCCCATAAAGTTGATGTGGAATCATGTAATTCTGAATTTGCAGTAATTATAAATCTTTGATCGTGTCATAATGTTTCATGATTAGAAATTTTTGATCTGGGAAAATCATTTCAAAATTCTCTATGAACTTTTCACAAAGCTACTCTGAACTAACAGTATCACCAACTTCACGATATGCACTCATTCTTCTGTCAAGCTCCCTCAGCTTGACATTTGTTTTTTCACCCTGGTGTTCATTCCTTAGAACAAGTTAATTATTTCTTACCAACTTCATGATATGCACTCATTCTTCTGTCTGACTTGGCACAGCTCCCTCAGCTTGACATTTGTTTTTTCACCCTGGTGTTCATTCCTTAGAACAAGTTAATTATTTCTTAAAAACTGGGTCAAACTGGGAGCAGAGGCCTCAACAACAGGGCCATTTCCTCGCACAATATCCTGTGAACTCCTGGCTGATGTTCCTTTTCTAGGGAACAAATCAAGTGTTAATACCCACTACTCAGTACAAGAAGTGAATCATAGAATCTGTTAGGTTGGAAAAGACCTTTAAGATGATCAAGTCCAAGCATTAACCTAGCGATGTCAGGTCCACCACTAAACCACGTCCCTAGGCACCACATCTACACATCTCTCAAATACCTCCAGGGATAGTAACTCAATTACTTCCCTGGGCAGCCTGTTGCATTCCTTAACAACCCCTTCAGTGAAGACATTTTTCCTAATTTCCAATCTAAACCTGCCCTGGTGCAACCTGAGGCCATTTCCTCATATCTTATCAATTGTTACTTGGGAAAAAAGACCAACTGTCTCACGAGTCATCTAAAGCATAACAAAAAAAGTAAAAGGGAATGGTTTGGGTTGGAAGGTACCTTAAAGATCATCTAGTTCCCAACCCCCTGCCATGGCACCTTCCACTAAATGAGGTTGCTCAAAGCCCCATCCAACCTGACCTTGAATACTCCGAGGGAAGGGTTATCCACAACCTCTCTGAGCAACCTGTTCCAGTGCCTCACCACCTTCACACAACTAATATAAATCTGCTCTCTTTCAGTTTAAAGCTACTAGCCCTTGTCTTCACAGTACGCTCCCTGATAAAGAGTCCCTTCCCATCTTTCTTACAAGCCTCCTTTAAGTAGTGAAAGGCTGCTATAAGGTCTACACTGACCCTTCTCTTCTCCAGGCTGAACAGCCCCAACTCTCTCAGTCTGTCTTCAATCAGTGAGGCGCTCCAGCCCCTCAGTCGTCCTCATGGCCCTCTTCTGGATCCACTCCAACAGGTTCATGTCCTTTTTATGTTGGGAGCTGCAGAGCTGAACACAGTACTGCAGGTAGGGTCTCCTCAGAGTGGAGTAGAGGGGGAGAATCACCTTCCTCAGCCTGCTGGTCACGCTGCTTTTGATACAGCTCAGAATATGGTTTTCTTCCTAGGCTGCAAACACACACAGCTGGCTCATGCTCAGCTGGGGGAAGGGAAATAATGCAAGGGAAAAAGTGAAGGGCAAGATGAATGGAAATAAAAGGACAGGACTGAGTTCACCAGAGCTTGCTGTTACACTCTTCTGCTGTGGCAAGTAAGACACCACTGCTCTTGAGACAATGCATACTTGGTTTGCTCAAACTGCGAGACATTTTTAGCAAAACTGTTTTCATGGATTTAAGTTGAATTTCACAAAATTAACCTTCTTTTCTGAAAACACACAATTTGAGATTTGCGTTACTATATCTGACAGCATGAATTTCAACTCAGTTTTAATATTTAATTCTATGAGGTAGATTGATGCTATAAAATATTTTACACTTTAAATGCAAGAATCCAGAAAGCTGGATTTATTAATATCACAAGCAGTCTGGCATAGCTTCCTGGGGTACATACAAATATACACACACACTGAATTTTACTATGCAGTTAGATTGATGGTTCAACTTCAATTATCAGAGTACAGACTAAGAGATTAGTGAAAAGCAAAGAAGACTGCACAATAACACCACAGCAGTAAAAATCATATGTAAATAGTAAGTTGCAATCATTGTATTTTTTCAAGACCACAACAGTTCTTTCAGTTCTTTTCCAAGACAATTAAAATTCTACACAGAGGATGCTTTTTCCTTTGTTGACTAAAATATTTTTTTCCTAAAATTTTGTTTGTGACAACACAGGCTTGTAGATCTAAATAGCACTCCACCATGCTTGCAGAGAAGATGTCCAAAAAGTGAAATTAGAAACAAAAACACAACCAAAAGTCAGTAGAGAAGACGGGGAAAAGCTTACGGTTTGCAGAATGAAGGCCACTGACCACTTGAAGCTTAGAGTAGCACTCTACAAAGGTTTGGAGAGAATACTTGTCAAGCTTGTCACCAGAAACTCTGACCTCTGGGTTTAATAGAGAAATAACAGACCTCCGGATTGCATTTGGACATGGGGCTCAGCTGTTTTGCACATCTACTGAATACACAATCTCTTTCACTTGCTTCTAACCACACACCTTGCCTGCTTTTTAAATAAAATTCCTTCAGCAATTTGCTCTAATCATGACATCCTATTAAATCATAGTACGTGCCACATGTTGTGTTTATCTCCTTGTTCTGAACTACAACTCCTTAAAAAAAGATGCCTGGTTCAAAACAACTGGCTCTGAAAAACGAAAGCATGGTCTACCAAACACTGGAAACTCTATCAATAATAAAAGAGCAGAAATGCAACAGAAAGATAACTGTTTGGAGTTTTTTTTCCTGTTTCACCTGACTGAACCATGTTATTTGATCGCTAAGGAAATCTACCAAGAAAAACAGTCAGGATAGATCCTCATCTATCCTGATGAGGATACTGGCTTCCCATGATTCTAGATAATATAGAGAAGCAGGTCTGCTGTCATTTTGCTCACTGTACCACTAACAGAACAGAACTAACTCTTTGTCAAATCTGCCACAGAAACAGATCACCAGAATCACCAAATCATGTACTGTTACGAGCAAGTTCCTCGCATCCAGTCTAACACCACAAATAAAACTGTTTTGATCCAGGGGGGTAAATAAGTAAGTAAGTAAGTAAATAAATAAATAGATAAATAAAACCTAAGTCCCTCCCACCTTTAAATAAGAAAAAAAGTCACAGCAAATAGCAATCTGCAGGCAACATAATAATTTCCTCTCTCATATTCTCTTTCCTGCAGCCAGAAGAAATACCAGTGTGTCAGGGACAAAACAACCCCTGCAAATACTAAGTTCAGGAGTGCTGCTATAACTCCTCCCTCTGGCAGCACGTCATTAGTTAAGTCCAAAATACCAAGATGCTTAGATCTATTTAGATGGTAGCAAGTTCTAGATGAGAAAAAAGACTCCCTAGATTAAAAACCAACTCCACATACCAGTAACATTAAGCACAATGACATCAGAAGAGTTCTTAGTAGCACTCCCTTCTTGATCAGCTATGTCAGAAGAAAAAAGAAGTGAGACAGATTGCAGTCATACAGGATTAAGATCTAGCTGCTGCTAAGTGAATGGCAGACAGACTAAAGACAGACTTCGTGATGCAACAAGTGACTGACCTGCACTAACGAAAATTTTGCATGGATGTGACAGACCCCGGGAGGAAGGGGGGGGACATGACACACACGACAGACAAACAAACAAACCAACCACAAAACCCAAACTTCTGTAAAAGGTGTCTATTTTAATCCTTCAGACACATGAAAAACATCACAAAGGCTGATACAAAAATAAACTATACAGTAAAGGCTTAAGATTAGTAGAAATTGGTCAGAAGACTGCAAGAGTGACAATATCTAATATGTCCAAAGGGTAAGCAGAAATCCAAAGGCACTGAATATATTTAGTAATGCCCTAGAAAACGTTGGTGAACTGTGAAGCAACAGAAACCTTTGAGTGAATCCTGGCTGTGCTAGGGGTGTTCTAATTTTAACACAGTGTATTAAAACCTAGCAAGAAACCATTAAGTGTGGTTTATGTAAGATTTGAAGTAAATTACTTAGTTCCACAGCCTGAGTTAAAATGTGTAAAAGTTGACAGATAACATTACAGTCATATTTATCAAGTCCACAGAAAACTGACCTGAAGAACCCAAGACATCAGTCTTGCAGCAACGGCTAACTCTTTGATGATGTGAGATACTGAACATTTGAAGATACGGTTCATGGAAACTACTGGGTTTGAAGTGAAAGATATATTTTTAGGAAATAAAGCTGGAAGATAAAAGACAATTGATGAAAAATTGCCTGGGATACATGAAGGTTAAAGCACAGAAGTACTTTTTGTATGTATAAAAATGAATGGTAAGTAGTACTAAATATCACCACAAAATATGATGGCATGCCCTCATTTTAGACACTACATCCACTTCTGAAAATATGAAAACTAATTTAGAAACAGAGAGCACAAACAAGAATATTAATGCAAAGTAATGAACACTGCACAAAAAGTTAACCGGATGGTCGTTTCACTTAACATAAGAACAAAAACACACGTGGAACTGAGAGAGAACATATTTAAAGTCAGTAAAAGAAAACACTTACTGCAGAACATTTTGATGCCCACAAAAACATTGGGATAGAATACAGTACCAAAACTAAAAAGCTTAGAAGAATTTTTAAAAAAAATAAAAATTCAGGCACTTGTGGTAGGGTTTGTAGGGAGAGGTAATACCTTTTATGCTTACAACATGTAGGATTAACCAGACACTCTGAAATATAAACACCTCAGTTCTTTTCTTAAGAACAGTCACGGTACATTAGGTTGAAAATAAACACTTGTGAGGATAAAGTTTAATCGTTCTGGACCAAAAAAAAAACCCAAACAATGGTACTCTCACAGTCTGCATACGGAAGGGGATGTTGCCATAGCACTGTAAAAATCTCACCACCGCTGCAGTGGTCATGCACAGATTCCAAAATACCATGTGGTTTCCTCCCAAGAAGCCCCTCTCAGCAGATGGACTGCAAGCGCTACCATTCCCTCATTCTCCTAAACAGCAACACCATCCGCAACAACTACACCTGTCACCAGACCTTTCAAGCACACCCCTCCCTACCTATGATACCTGACTGTGCCTTCTTACACCCTCCAACATCAATTTGTAAAGGAGAAGGGTATCACCCCTTTACCCATAGGAAATGTGGCCATCCCATCTAAATACCTGCATGCTCTATTTAATCACACTTCAAACTTCTGTAGAATTGTCAGATGTGCACTTGGTGGCTGAGTGCAAGATGAAGAACCCTGCATGGCCTGACAGAGGTCCAGCATGGCGAGGACCTGCACAATTGAGCGTGGCACTAACAACGCCAAGGTCGTGGGTTCGATTCCCGATCGGTCCCCATGTGTTGCCTGATCTAGTTGAGGTGGCATCCCTGGCGACAGGGAGGCTGGATTAAAAATGATCTCTGAGGTCCCTTCCAGCCTTGGCCATTCTATGATCTGTTGCACAGCAACTTCCAAAGCTGTCACTGTAGAGGAACTGAGCCACCTAACACTCATCAGGCCTTCTGACTTACCACAGTCTAAAGACAGATCTTCCTTTCTAGGCAAGTCTCTAATTAGGATCATTGGGACCGTGACTCAGCAATCAGCCCATACTTGTGTACCGTGCCTGGTGCAGTGTCCCACCATCCCCCCTCTCTCTCCCATCCTTTGGGGTGGAGCGCTGACAAGTGCATCTGCGTTGCCGATGTTTTCCAGAGAACTGCTTCCACTTCATCACGACACAGAAGGACTTCAGCGTGGACTCCCACTGCAGCTGACCGCCTAAAGAAGCTCAATACACTCACCCATTCACTCTGTGACCCATTGCACACCTTCCCAACCACTGACATCCCCATCAACTCTCCTGACAGTATATAAAGCTTCCCCTAGTTAATTCTGTAATAATACATACACAAAATTATTTTCTT